CCTTGTCAATAGATGGATTTTACTCTAGGGCAAAAATCAAGTCCAAGAAGCATTTGCCCCATCAGTGCCAGTTTAGTGGGTACTGGAATTCAGCAAATTAGTAGAAAACTAATCTTCCAAAGGGCAGAGAAACATGATAAGCCACACAGGCTGTTGTCATCCTTCAAATATCTGTGTGGCTTTCCACCGTCAACCTTTATGATTCAATTAAAAAAACCGTATTCCTTATTTATTAAGTTGGAAAGCAAGCCATTGCATTCACTATCCGTTCATTCTTTAGAGCAGTGGTTCTCAACCTTTCTAATGCCGTGACCCCATAATACAGTTCCCCATGTTGTGGTGACCCCCAAGTGGGTGTGGCCACCAATAAGAGGGAGTAGGACAGCTAGGGAAAAGGGAAAAAAAGGGTGGACAGCGTGGTTTGGCGACCCCCATGAAATGGTCGTTCAACCCCAAATGAGGTCCCGACCCACAGGTTGAGAACCACTGCTTTAGAGTATTTAGTCCAACTACAACAATATAGAGCATTTTTTTCTCTTGAAAAATGGCCAGCAGTACTGAATATAAATGAGAATCAATATACAATAATCAGACTATATTTATCATGTGTTCTTGATTCAATCTTCCCAGTAATAAAAACATGTGGATAGAAATGCCACCAACTTGGCATTGTTGTGGGTTCTACCAGGAGTATGTTTATACAAAAACAGGGCAGATTGTTATTTTTTTTCAAGTCTTTCTCCAGATACCAGACAGATTTAATTAACAGAAGCAAGCTTAGCAAACATTTTATAAACAAGTAAATTTTAGGAACCATGGCAATGAGGTAGGTGCAGGGCTGGGCAGGCAAGGTAAGTAGGAAATTAGAATATTGTAGAAGTATACAGTATATGCTTCTACACAATCCTCTACAGAGGGTAATGTGAGAGGCAGGTGCATCAAGAAATTGCTGTCTAATGGTTCTTGCATCTGACATTGGGACACAAGAAAAGTCACACCAGTGTCACTTTTTGCAGTGTTGTCTGTACTTTTCTTCCCTTACAGATGAAGCACAGGAGAGCTTCAGCAAACCCTAATTCTGTTGTGTGATCTCTCCTGATCCTCCAATATAATGCCAATGTTTAAAAAGAGACATAGATCTGAAAATAAGATTAATGCCAGAATCTGCCACGATCGTGTCTGTTTAAACCACAAAAGATCAGTGTTCAAAATGAGCAGTCTAAAACTGGAAATATCCTTTTAATAAGGATGTGTTTATTCCTGTGAGATCTGCACATTAATTGCATGAAGGAATTAAACTCAGCCAGATACCAAAGCACATGCTCTGGTCTCCCTTATCGAATATCGGTGTGGCTACCGAACACCCAGAGCCCTGAACTTGATGGAAACTGGATCTCAAATGCAGTTGAGCTGTTACTGAAAATTAGTAATATTCTGGTAATAGATAGAGAAAAGTAGAGAATTAGAAATTTAGAAATGTAGATGATTCTACTATTGTTAAGTTAAAGTTGATAAAATGAAAATAGCAGCAGAGGTTCAGGCCACAGCCTGATCTTTACTCACTGAGGCCAAAATGTTGACATAGGTTGAAGTGCCGCAAAATTAATAATATTGGGAACACATGATGCATACAGTACTTGATCAGCAAATGATCGATACAGTACTGACTAATCAGGATAAATTGCAATGCCCAAATCTGAGTGAATCAGTCTTAGAGGCATGAAGCAAGCTATAAAAACAGCAGAGCAATCTCCGGGGTCCTGAATGATGCAAGCTTGGGTCTTGGTCATCTCAGCTGGGATCGGCTCTCTCATTCGCTGATAAGTTTCAGGCCCCAATGTCACTCAACCGTTTCTGTTTATGTTTACATCACTGTTGGACTTTGAAACCATGACAAATTCTTCACAGACTAGAAAAAGGGCTGAAGAAATATCTACAGACTCCTCACATCCTGGATATAAACTGTTTCAAATTCTCCTCTCAGGATGCCACTATAGGGCATCATATACCAAAACTACTAGACACGAGTTTTTTCTCCATGCCATCACTCTGCTAAACAGATAACTCCCATAGCACTGTCTTATGCCTAAAGATATTTATTTACCTAGTTAGTAGGGCAGTATTGCTGTTATCCTTCTCATCTTCCTACTATCTTCTCCTATTGGTATCTTATGATTTATCCCTGGTTTGTATCTTATGATTTATGATTGTTTCTAATGGTTTTATAATCTATGACTTATCGCTTTGTTGTTTGTATGTACACTGAGAGTTTCTGCACCGGAGACAAATTCCAGATGTGTCCAATCACACTTGACCAATAAAGAATAATTCTATTCTATTCTATTCTATTCTATTCTATTCTATTCTATTCTATTCTATTCCATTCCATTTCATTCCAAAATGGTGAAATGAGGTGTTATTGATTCAAACTGTACCAATATACTTGGATCACATATAGTTTTCAATTTAATGACCATTTGAAGTTATGATGAACCCTAAGAAAGCTACTTAGGACCCAGTTTCAAAGTTCTGATATTGTTCCCTCCCCCATGATTACATGACTGTGGACACTCGGCAATCGGTCCACATTTATGGCTGTTTGCAGCATCCTGTGGTCACATGACCATGATTTGTGACATTTTTGCCAAACACTGGTGCTTGCTTCTAATTTTTCGGCCAAATCAGTTCTTATAACAAACCATGTGTTTGCTTAACAACTGCACTGCTCACTGAACGAGTGTGACATTCGCTTAACGACCAGCGTGAAAAAGATTGTAAAATGGCCAGGCTGAATGATGGTTGCAACTCTCAGACTTATCTGTAATGCTGAAATAATAATGAGTGAAATTAGTGAAGTTACTCGGATTAGTGAAATGAGACTGGAGCCTTCCTTTTCTCTATGTGTTTTCTGATTAAATGTGGGTACTTCCTATTTTAAAACAATTTTCCCAACACGAGACCTGAAACCTTAAGCCAGTGGTTCTCAATCTGTGGGTCGGGACCCCATTTGGGGTCGAACGACCATTTCACGGAGGTCGCCAAACAACGTAATCCGCCATTTTTTTTCCTCCTTTTCCTTAGCTGTGCTATTCCCTTTTATTCTATTGGCTTTTGAAAGCCAATAGAATAGACTCTCTTGAATAGAGTCTAATTCTATTGGCTTTCAAAAGCCAATAGGAATTGTCCAGGCTGTCTCTGCCCTGCTGAGCCCCCCAAAAGTCCCATTCTGCAAACGGTGCTGCACCAGTTGAGTAGTCCTCGAATTACGACCGGTTGAGTAGTTCTCGACTTACGACCGGTTGGGGGTCACGGCATTAAAAAGGTTGAGAACCACTGCCTTAAGCTGATTAAAGAGGTATAACAGCAGTCCTGATATGAGTGAGGAGGAAGTCCAGAATCCCAACATTTTCTCAAGATGCCCTCTGGTCTCTGCCTTCCCATCTGTGTTTTTTGTCTCCATCAGGGAAAATATTAGGGGGGGGGTGAAGCTCCATGTTCACCGTTTTTCCTCTTGCCCCTCTCGTTAATATGAGCAAGGTAAGCAGAGCTACATGTATGCAGGTAGTCCTCAACTTAAAGAGTTCACTGAGTGACTGTTCCAAGTTACAATGGCACTGACAAAAGTGACTTATGCCTGTTTGTCACACTTAGGAGCGTTACAGCATCCCCATGATCGTGTGATCAAAATTCAGACACTTGGCAGCTGACTCATATTTATGACGGCTGCAGTGATCCTCTTTCGCGACCTTCTGACAAGCAAAGTCAATGGGGAAGCCAGATTCACTTAACAACTGTCTTATGAATTTAACAGCTGCAGTGATTCATTTAACAACCATGATAAGAAAGTTCATTAAATGGGGCAAAATTCGCTTAACCAATGTCTCACTTAGCAACCTAAATTTTGGACTCAGTGGTGGTCGTTTAGTACAGGGGTAGGCAACCCTGGCTCTTTTATGACTCGTGGACTTCAACTCCCAGAATTCCTGAGCCAGCATGGCTCAGCTTGGAAACTCTCCCTTTCCCCTCAGCATGGCTGGCTCGGGAATTCTGGGAGTTGAAGTCCACGAGTCATAAAAGAGCCAAGGTTGCCTACCTCTGGCCTAGGCCTAGGCCGCTTTATAACTTGTGGACTTCAACTCCCAGAATTCCTGAGCCAGCCTGGCTCAGCTTGGAAACCTCTCCCTTTCCCCTCAGCATGGCTGGCTCAGGAATTCTGGGAGTTGAAGTCCACCAGTCATAAAAGAGCCAAGGTTGCCTACCCCTAGTTTAGTAGCACCGCTGCTTAAGTGAACCTGGCTTCCTCATTGACTTTGCTTTTCAGAAAGTCCCAAAAAGGCGATCCCCATGACCCGGGGACACTGCAACCGTCACAAACGTGAGTCGGTGACCAAGCGTGCAAATTTTGACCACGAGGCCATGGGGATTCTGCAACGGTCGTTAAGGGTGAAAAATGGTCGCCGGTCAATTTTTGTCAGTGGCGTTGTGACTTTGAACGGTCACCGAATGAACGGTTGTTAAGTCGAGGGCAACCTGTAGGGCAGTGTTTCCCAAACTTGACCATTTTAAGGCATGTGGACTTCAACTCCCAGAATTCCACAGCCAGCGTTGCTGGCTGTGGAATTCTGGGAGTTGAAGTCCTCATGCCTTAAAATGGTCAAGTTTGGCAAACACTGCTGTAGGGAGAAAATCATTGCATACGGGTGGGGGGGGGCGCCCACTTTCCTTTTCAAAGGGTCACATTCGGACTCTCACCCTTCTGCCCGTCCAGCAGAAGAGAAAAGGAAAGACACCTGCCCCCCCCCCCGGGGACGAGCCCCTTGGGCAACCCGCGGAACCCTTCCCCAAGACCTTCCAGGGGACTCGTTCTGCCGGCACGACGCCCCTCACTGAAGGCAACCTGCGGAGCAGCGACCACCAGCTTCCCGGCTTCGGACGCTCTCCGAGTCATCCCCCAAAGGGCGCGCGTGGGCGGGCGAGGCGAGGAGGGTTTGGCCGGGAAGGGCTGACCTCGCTCCCCGGAGCCGTCCAGTCGCCGCCTTCCCCAGATCCGGGAGATTTAAAAGCGGCAGCGCTCCCGCCCAGCACTTCCAAAGCATCGGCAGAGCGGCAGGGAAAAAGCCAAGGAAACGAGCAGGAGCGCCGGCGGAAAGAGGCACCATGCGAAGAGAGAGCGCTTGCAGCACCCAGCCGGAGCTGCGCCCGTTGCCGGCAGCAGCCTTTGCTCAGGACGGCAGCCCCGGCAAAGCCGGTCGCCCCAGCCGGGGGAAGCCGGGTCCCGGAATACCCTGGAGGTTGCTGCTCGCCTTGCTGGCCTTTGGGGTGAGCTCCTGCAAAGGTAAGGGGCAGCCTTCTCGGTGTCTTCTCTTAGCGACCGACCTCACTGGGATTCCCCTCCCCCAAAACACTTTTATTTTTTTTTGGGGGGGGGGAATCCAGTGAAAGCAAAAGCTCCAGTAATCCAGAGTGTTCAGGGGAGCAGAAAATGCGCCTTTTTCATCACACAGGTCACCCTCGACTTACACAATGGAGCCCAACATTTCTGTCGCTAAGGGAAACATTTGTTAAGTGAGATTTGCCGTTTTTACGACCTTCCTCCCCGCGGTTGTTAAGTGAATCACTGCGGTTGTTAATTTAGCAACACGGTTGTTAAGTGAATCCTGCTTCCCCGTCAACGTTGCTTGTAAGAAGGTCGCAAAAGGGGATCGTCTGAATTCCGGGACACTGCACTAAAAGGGAGTTAGTTATCAATCTTCTAAATTTGGATCATGTGACCATGGGCATGTTGCAATGGTCGTAAGTGTGAAAAACTCCCTTTTTTTCAGTGCAGTTGTAACTTTGAATGGTCACTAAAGGAACTATTGTAAGTCAAGGACTATCTGTGGTTCTAGTGCTGGGGTAGGCAACATTGACTCTTTTATGACTAGTGGACTTCAACTCCCAGAATTCCTGAGCCAGCCATGCTGAGGGGAAAGGGAGAGGTTTCCAAGCTGAGTCATGCTGGCTCAGGAATTCTGGGAGTTGAAGTCCCCCAGTCATAAAAGAGCCAAGGTTGCCTACCCCTGTTCTAGTGCAATGTTGCTTTGAATGGAAAACATCAAGCATTTCAAATAACTACATTCTTATGTCAGGGAGACTCTGCCTTACGCCGGACCCGCCTGAAGATTCCCTTCTTTAAAACAGCCATAAAAAATGGGGAAGGGTTTGGGAAACTTTGGGAAGTTTCCTATCGAAGTACCCCTTCCTCTCAATCTTATTCAAAATTTACTTTTCTTGCTTCCAACTTTAAGGCAAATGTAAAAGTTTGCATGCCTCCCCTCCGAAAAAATTCACCAGGATTTTAATACACAAGGTTTTATTTGGATTTTGGGACAGGTGTCCCAAAGCAGATAATACACAAGGCAACTGTTGTGTGACTTACCTATTTTCTCGAGAACGGGCTGTTAAGAGGGGTCCTTGGTGCTCTCTGAGCTTGCTTGTTTTCTTGCAGACGTTTCATTACCCAAAATAAGTCATGAAATGCTACTACTGATGATGTTACCTAGTTTGGGTAATGAAACCTCTGCAAGAAAACAAGCAAGCTCAGAGAGCACCAAGGACCTCTCATGTCAATCCTGAGCTACAAATATTCTCCTTTATTACTGCTGTTCAGTTTACGCATTGCGGTAAGCTGCTTTTCTTACAGTGTAACATATGAAAAGTTACCTCAAATTCAAAAGGTATGTCATTTTACACCAGGGGTAGGCAACCTTGGCTCTTTTATGACTCGTGGATTTCAATTCCCAGAATTCCTGAGCCAGCATGGCTCAACTTGGAAACTCTCCCTTTCCCCTCAGCATGGCTGGCTCAGGAATTCTGGGAGTTGAAGTCCACCAGTCATAAAAGAGCCCAGGTTGCCTACCCCTGTTTTACACCAATCAAACCTGGCTGGGGAATTCTGGGAGTTGGAAGTCCACAGGGTTTAAAGTTGCCCAAGTTGGACTCCTCTGATCTAAATGGAATATTTCAACTGTTTCCAACTCTGTTCTATGTCTTAGGAGTTTATCATTAATTGTAAAAAATTATGTCCTAATCTTTAAAAAAAACAACAAACCACCTCAATGCAGGTCCTGCATAATACACACAGAGTAACTACAAAGCTTTAAGTCAAATCTGGGGTTCCTCCTTATCACAATGATAGCAGTAAGAATGTAAATTCCAATTTTAAAACTCTGTCTCATTCTAGTTTACTTTTAGCAACGGATGTCATTTCCAGTGCAAAATTACTTATCAAAGTTTAAGTCCTTCTAGAGAGCAGCAGTGCCTTTTTTTTTTAGGTCAGCTAATAAATAGTCTACAAAATATTGAATTTTCAAATAATAGTTGATGTAAAAATGTGATATACCAATGAATATTATACATTAATTTTAAATAGAAGCCACAGCAGAAAAAAATCTCTGCAATAGTACAGCATACAGATGTTATAGCTTTGAGATACCAAGTAGGTCAAGCTATTCATATTTCCCTTTCTAATTATTTTCAAGTATATCTATAGTATGCTCATTTAAGGGAAAGTTTGAATTTAAAATATAAAGTTAAATGGGCTAGTAGATCCTGAAGATACATTTTTAAGGCAAGTAGATAAATATATTTTAAAATATCCTGGTTATTTATGGACAAACCATTCCATAATTTAGAGTCCTTATTTCCCTAAAAAGTAACAAAAGTGATAGCACTAGTCAAAGCGCAGAAAGAAATACAATTATATGGAACGTTTATATTTAATATCATCTAGCCTGATCTGTATTTCTTGCTTCATAGTCCTAAATGAAATCATATTCATAGTTACCACTTCAAAATATGAAAATCTAAAAATGAAAATATAAAGAAGAGAACAAATAATTGCAGAGTCTTGTTTGTATGTTCTCTAAGTGTTTGTGCTTCTACACAAAGTATTAACGAAGCATATGCATTGCCTGGTTAGAACTATAATGTGGTCCTTAGCCCAGATCGTATTCTTAGTGCAGTTCCCTTTCATTTCTCTGTTGCTTCTTCTATGACTTTCTTCTTCCTTTAAAAACAGAAACGTGGAATAGTTGCAAAATCCTTTTTTTTAATTAGTAGTGCTAGGAGCCTCCCATATGGAAACATCCAGAGAGCAACCAGCAAGCACTGCTGATGTGTATAATAAAATCTTTTACTAACAAGCTTTAAATGGGTCTATTCTTTCTGCCCTCATTTTACAATTTGAATGCTATCTATCTATCCATCCATCCATCCACACCACACACACTTACACACATACATATACATACTGTAGTTTTGGGGCAGTAAAGCCCCGTGACTACAATTTCCTTCAGAATAGATATGCATAAGATTATAAAAAAATCAGAATTGTTTAATTATATCTTTTTGAACATAGTATGGTTTTATTTATTTGTTTTATGTAGCAATGATGAAAACTCCCTGTTAACATAATTCAACTTGAATACGTACATAAATGTCATGCAGTAGGTGTGAACTTAAATGGACTCCAGAAGATGGTAGAGGACAGGAAGACCTGGAGGAACGTTGTCCATGGGGTCGCAATGGGTCGGACACGACTTCGCAATTAACAACAACAACAACAAATTCCCTTTTGGGATGAGCACGGTGATGCAAAGTACAAAAAAAGGAATGTAAAGTAAATCAGTTGCATGAGATAAGAAGAGGAAACAGATTTAAATCTGGATATTCACTATATTCTCCATACCTTTGTATTTTTGCAAATAATCCTGGCTGCCATTATATCTGTATGTCGCTTTCTATGCATCGGAAACTCAGCTCTCTTTTTCTGAGAATTGTATGGATCCAATTCACCTTTCTTTTTATACACACAAACACACAGTTGATCCTAATTCCTTTTCTCCATATGACTAAATCCCATCATTATTCTTATTTTAAACTGGCCTCTCATTTTGTATTCAAACCATTGTCCTTTAGCATCAATACATTTTTGACCTTATAACTTCTTCTTTGATCACAATTCTTAAGTATCTCATTCAGCAGACTACTTTTGCTGATTACCAACTGCCAGTAGTTCGGAAGTTTGATCTTGACCAGCTCAAAGGTTGATTCCATCTTTCCGAGGTCGGTAAAATGGGGACCCAGATTGTTGGGGCAATCTGTAAACCGCTTAGAGAGGGCTGTAAAGCACTGTGAAGTGGTACATAAATCTAAGTGTGTATGCCATTGTTGTTCCCAGTGCAAATAATTTTATTTCTCAGTCTGTATAGCTTAGTACACATCCATATACGTCTTCAACCAACATAATTCAGTGTCACCATAAACATAGATTAATTGATAGATTATACAGGTAGTCCTTGACTTACGACCACAATAACACCCAACATTTCTGTTGTTAAGCAAGACAACTGTTAAGTGAATTTGCCCTTTATTGGCACAGTTGTTCAGTGAATCATTGCAATTGTGAAGTTGGTAACATCTGCCTTCCACATTACCTTTACTTGTCAGAAGGTCGCAAAAGGGGATCACATGACCCCGGGACTCTGCAATCGTCATAAATATGCACCAGTTACCAAGCATCTAAATTTTCATCATGTGACCATGGGGATGCTACAACTGTTAGAAGTGGGGGGAAATGGTCATAAGTCACTTTTTTCAGTGCCGTTGTAACTTCAAACAGTCACTAAATGAAAGGCTGTAAATCGAGGACTATCTGTATATAATCAAGTCATTTTCGATTTTTATCATTCTTATCCTTAATCTATTTTTTCAAGTCTTCCAACAGCCATCGCCACTGTGAGTCCATCCACCTTGCTGCTGATTATTCTCTTCTCTTTCCTTCTATCTTCCCTAGCATTAAAGTCATTTCAAGAATCCAGATTTTCACATAAGGGTAGGCTAATTTGAGATTGGTTCTGTGTATCTTGAGTGATAGCTCTGGGTTAAATTATTTGATGAGCCATTGGTTTGTGTTGTGATTGGCTGTACACAGTGTCAGTCAGAATAGAGCTGGAAGAGACCTTCAAGGTCTTCTAGTCCAGCCCCCTACTGAAGCAGGAGATCCTATACCATTTCAGACAAATGGCTGTCCAGTCTCTTCTTAAAAACCACTAGTGATGGAGCATCCACAACTTCTTACAACAACCTGTTCCACTGGTTAATTGTCCTCACTGACAGGAAGTTTCTCCTTAATTCCAGGTTGCTTCTCTCTTTGATTAGTTTTTATCCATTGTTTCTTGTCCTGCCCTCTGGTGCTTTGGAAATAAGTGGCAATCTCTCAGATATTGGTACCATATATTCAGTATATTCAGGAATATTCAAGTTCAAAGGCATGAATGCTTTTTCTAGCCTGGTCTTTAAAATCCAACTTTCACATCCATAGATATGTGAAGGAAATACTATGGTTTGCACAATGCTGATCTTCGTAGTAGGCAGGGGTAGGCAACCTTGGCTCTTTTATGACTTGTGGACTTCAATTCCCAGAATTCCTGAGCCAGCATGGCTTAGCATGGAAACCTCTCCCTTCCCCTCAGCATGGCTGGCTCAGGAATTCTGGGAGTTGAAGTCCACAAGTCGTAAAAGAGCCAAGGTTGCCTACCCCTGGTAATATTTCCAAGGCCACCATGGATGCTGTAGCAAATGTTAATCTATAGCAGTGGTTCTCAACCTTTTTAATGCCGTGACCCCCCAACCGGTCGTAAGTCGAGGACTACTCAACTGATGCAGCACCGTTTGCAGAATGGGACTTTTGGCGGGCTCAGCAGGGCAGAGACAGCCTGGACAATTCCTATTGGCTTTTGAAAGCCAATAGAATTAGACTCTATTCAAGAGAGTCTATTCTATTGGCTTTCAAAAGCCAATAGAATAAAAGGGAGTAGCACAGCTAAGGAAAAGGAGGAAAAAATGGCGGACTGCGTTATTTGGCGACCCCTGTGAAATGGTTGTTCGACCCCAAATGGGGTCCCGACCCACAGGTTGAGAACCACTGATCTATAGTATATTTCCTGACTGTTTCTTCCATATACTTATGATTCCTTATAAACAAAGAACCATAAAAATTTCTTATTCATAAATAGTTCAAATATTGATTAGTGGTTGAATATATGTCTTTTAGAGAATGAAAGAGACAGAAATACATAGTATATTTTTCTCTATTTTTTTTTTTAAATACCTGAGTATGTAGAATTCACATCTAGGTAAAGTGGGAACACTGTCCAATTTAAAATTAAAATAAAATTCTGCATTCAAATATATGTAGCTGTTTATGGGGTGGATCACATTTGAAACTCAATGTTTTTATGAATAGAGATTAAAATAAAATGTGTTCGAAAACATGTGATACACATAATCCAATGTCTACTCTGCAGTTCAGATTCAAAAATGTTGAAATTTCAATACTCTGTTCACAAATATTTTGGCACTGAAATTAATGAGAAGCATTAAAAAGCAATGATGTAAGCATATCATATTTCATGTCACGACATAAATCAGGCCTGAAGTGAGCTGTTTTCAGACTCTGAATATCAGCTTCTTGTTCTATTCAATGTCTAGCCCGTTTTTTTGTTACTATCACTGTCGTCCTATTTTCTGAGTAACAATATTTGTTTATTCATTGACACATTCAGAGTTGGTGATCTTTGCACAGTTCGTAATATCATAAATAGAAAATTTACAGCCAGATTTTTTTTTCTTATTTCCCAGGTGCACCAGTGGTGTCCCATGTTCTCCAAGGAGAAAAAGTGTGGAATGAGGTAGAAAACAGTATCCCTTGTGTTGCTTCTTTCAGAGTTGTCTTATTTAACACAAGGGTGTACCCGTGCCATTTGTTCTATGCGTTTTTTTTAAAAAAAACAGATTTAATAATTGAAAATTTTAATAGGGGACTGATATATACTACATTTGTAATACTCAACAAAAAAACTAAATTGCTTTCATTTTTGTTCAGTTGAAAACGTTACTGAATCTACCTTCTTATCAATCTTGATAGATAGAGGATATGTGTTCTGCTATCCCAGCTATAGATACTCTGCCTCAGGTCAGTTGAATTTAACATTTTAAATAATGCAAATATGTTATTTATTTTTTTTAAGAGGAGGATGCTTTCAGTTCATTAATCTAACCTCTTTTTTTTTTTTTTAAGCCATCCAATGCACTGGAAGAATTTTGCTTTATGGTTCTGGAATTTCTACAGAATGATAAGGTAATAACAGTTATTGCTGTATTTTTTAATATGGTACTCAGATTTTTCTGTACAGGTAGTTTTGACTTACGACCGTTTGCTTAGCAATTGTTCAAAGTTCCGACGGCCCTCCCAATACATTACTCAAGACCCGGTTCCAAAGTTCCATTTGCTATCATCTCCCAGTCACATGGGCTCATTTCGAGTGCTTAGTAACCAGTCCACATTTATGTCCATTTGCAGTGTCCTGTGGTCACATGACCACAGTGTATGACATTTTGGCCAAAACATGACACTTACTTCCAATTTTCAGAAAAAGCACACCCATAGCGAACAATGGGTTCCTTTTAATGACTGCTGCAAAAGTCATAAAATTGGTCATGTGATGGTCCATTTTACAACTGTCATCACTTGCAACAATAAGGGGCAAGCTGCATTCCGGTTTACTTGTCATGTTTTATAATTAGTTTTCAAGCAAATGACGGATGCTAATGGATTCTCAGCTTTGTGGCCCCTGATACCAGCTATTGCACGGTCACAGACTGATAAATTTAAATAAGGAATATGCAAAACTGGATGGTCTGTTTTTCCTCTAAAACATGTTGAAATTACTATATCAATAATAACAATTTTTTTTTTTTCAAAATACAATCTTCCAGATTGGAAGCGGCTGGCAGAATGTTCAGTTCTGTATATCTTTAGTTTAAATCGTTTACTTACTTATTGATGAATTTATTTGCCAGCTATCTCCCCAACGGGGCTTCTGTAGGCGGCTGGTTAGCAGAATCATTGCTCAAATTGTAAGTTAGGTAAATTAGGTAGGTAATTTAAAAATCTTATTCTGAAAGTTTTGCAAACCAGCAGATATGAATAAGCCATTTCTAACTTACATATGCCTTGAAATGAATTTATATTCAAAATTTTCTGTATTACATAGCAAAACAAGCTTTATTGGGAAACTGGGCAATGTTCTTTGTATGGCTGAAAAACTTCAGTGTTTATTCCTTTCTAACATTTTTATTTGAGAAATTACTGACTGTGGTGCAGATTATTTTGAATTAAGTTAATTTCAAGCCATGCTTTCCTAAAATTGTCATTAGAAACTAACCAAAGTTGATGTCAACCATAGTTTGTCTACATTAATCTACATTAATATCATAACATCTTTCTAACTGACATAAGGTTATATAAGATTAAATTAATTTGGGGGTTGGATTTCATCAAAAGAAATATGTTTAATATTTATACATAAACCTAGAAAGGCAAGAAATCTTTCTGCAGGCAGGAATTACACTTAAAAAATAAAAGTTCAAGATTTGAAGGTACGGGACTGTAATATTACTGGAGATAGTTTTTTTTTTTTTAGCTTTTAGTGTACAGGTAGTCCTTGACTTACAACAGTTCATTTAGTGACTGTTCAAAGTTACAACTGCACTGAAAGTAGTGACTTATGACCATTATATGCCAAGTCGTCTTATACATCAGAAATTACAGTAGTTTCCGCCGTATAAGACGACTTTCTAGGCATGGAAATCGGCGCCGAAGACAGGGGTTGTCTTATACGCCAAGTCGCCTTATACACCGGAAAATACGGTAACTGCAGTGATTCACTTAAAAGACTGAGGCAAGAAAAGTCGTAAAATGGCAAAATTCCCTTAACAAATGTCTCACTTAAAACAGACATTTTGGGCTCAATTGTGGTCATAAATTGAGGACTACATGTAGTGGCTGCTTTCAGTAAAAAAAAAAGTATTAATATAGATGTAATGCAGCTATTTACTTAATTTGAATTTCTTAAACAAATGCATACTATAATGAAATTTTGGTATTTTAATGGGAAAAAAGTTTGGGACTGCATAAAGCCTATATAGCTAGTTGCCCAGCTCTGTCTGAATTGTATGCAAAATGTTTTAAGAGATCTTGCTTTTAGTGTGTTAGAATTGCTCCAAAGAAATGTTAAGTATTTTATCCACATCTTCTGTCATTCATCAAAATTCTCCTGGCAAATTTAACAATTTGTCATTCATTTTATAACATAGTTAATGTCACCTTGTCAGTCATTGTGGCAGAAAGCCATTTGGGGCAAATTCTGGGAGAATATCAGAAATGATTATTCTTTTTTACAGATCTACAAATTATTCTAAAGTTATCATTAGCCTAGAAAGAAATTATGTCCTGTTGCCAAAAACAGCATAATTGTTTTCAGTTTGCTTTTTTTTATAGTTTATTAGTTCCCATTGCCTTTGTATGTCCTGTGATATCCAGTTTATTACAACTTTTGCCATGTTGGTTTATCACTGGGAATGCAAAGAAATAAAAAAACACTATACTACGATAGTTCTACCGTGATGCATTTTGTGAATGTTTATAAGACTCTATGTTGTTGTGTGAACTTTTACAGGCATTCTAAACCAGGGCTTTTCAACCTTTTCACCCATTGTACCACTTTTAGGATATGGCAATATCTGAGTACCACCAGTCGTCTAGCAAGGTGTCAAAAACCTGATAACCAAAAAAAAAAAGAAGGAAAAAAGTGATAAAGTACAGATAGTCCTCGACTTACAACAGTTCGCTTAGTGATTGTTCAAAGTTACAGTGGCACTGAAAAAAGTGCTCCCCAAGCCACAGCCGAGCAAGACACCTGCCTGCCCACCCGGCGGCACCCTTCCTCCTGTCTGAGGTTTCCATTGTTGTGAGCATTTCTGTTGAGGATTGGCAGCAGGGGTGTGGTGAGGGGATGTTTGGTTTTTATTCCCCCCGTCTGCTGGGTGGTTGCAGCAGGTTTTGGTCACTTCACATAACCCTGGGACACTGTGACCGTCATAAATACGAATCAGTTGCCAAGCATCTGAATGTAAATCACAAGACCCTGGAGATGCCGCAACATTCCAGCTGATTGGCGCTTCTTCTGGGCTCAGCAGAAGCACCAGGATCAGTGCTGAGCTCCAGCTGGAGCCTGGTGCTGATCCTGGCGCTTCCGCTGAGCCCTGACAGCCCTGTAGCTCCAGCCATCTCTCGCTCAGGCTTGTGCGATGCTGCCACCGGTTCAGCTCATTCTCCTCCCTCACTACCACTTTTCTAGAATGTTTGCGTACCACCTGCCAAGTCCCAATGTACCACAGGTGGTACCCGTACCTCCGGTTGAAAAGCCCTGTTCTAAACAAATAGGAAATAAACCGTAACAAACAAGAGGAAGTTTATTCTGCATTAATTCGTTGTATCAAAAGTTTTAACCACCAACAAGGAATTCTACAGCACTGCGGGCATGTACAATTCCTGGCAGAAAGTCTGCTTTAAGTAGCAGCTGAATTCTGCAAGGCCATATAGAAGAAAAGCAATTGAGCCGGCTAGCTGGGGAATTCTGGCGAGTTGAAGTCCACAAGTCTTAAAAATTGCCCAGATTGGACACCCCTGATATAGAGTTTGTAGAGGCAGTCAGGCAAATCATGGATTGCTGAGTTGGATCGAAGGAGCCTTGCTCCTGGGCATGTGTGAGAGAGATGGCTGGATTCAAAGAATTAGGCCAACGATTCTAACTGGCATTGATTTGTAAAATTCTCCCGTCTGGAGGTCAGGGGATTTGCTGTCATCCTGATTCCCACCCCCCCAGCATGCCCTCCTAAAATGCCATGCCAGACTACAGTCCATTGTTCCTCCCTTCTTATCCATCTACATGATGCACAGGGCTGAAGGCTTAATATGTAAGCTGAAAAATCCCACAAGCATTTCATCTTACGCTTGAAAGAGAAAAAAAAATAGACTAATAACGGAGTGAATACAATTTAGTCTCATTTATAACACTTAATATTTGTGGTTAGAAGAGGCCTCCTTAACCTACAGGTCATTCTTGATTTATAACAACAATTGAGACCACAATTTCTGTTGCTAAGTGAGACATTTGTTAAGTGGGTTTTGTCCCATTTTACGACCTTCCTTGCCACCGTTGTTCAGTGAATCACTGCAGTTATGAAATTAGTAACATGGCTGTTAAATGAATCTGCCTTCCCCGTTGACTTTGCTTGACAGACAGTCGCAAAAGGGGATCACGTGACCCTGGGACACTGTAACTGTCATAAATATTAGCCAGTTGCCAAGTATCTGGCTTTTGATCACGTGACCATGGGGATGCTGCATTGGACATAACGTGTGAACAATGATCATCAGTCACTTTTTTCAGGGCTTGTAACTTTGAACGGTCACTAAGCAAACTGTTGTAAGTCCAGGACTACCTGTATTTGGACTCTCTAGCCAGTTTTGGAGTAACAGTGGTTCCCTCAGGCCTGACTCCCAAAATACCATATTTTCAAGTCTGTAGGATGTTTATTGTGTAGGTCTCTGCTGTGCTCACGAGTGTCTGTTGCAGGAGAGGGATTTTCTCCCCAACTCAAGCTAAAATCTCACTGCCGTTCACATTTCTCTCTTCCTGTTGTCTTAGCCATTGGTCACACACCCTATGCTGCCACTGGTGCCCCAACTTCATGACCGGAGACAGAAGAGATACAAAGCGGATGTACGTAACTTCTGAATTATGCACAATAGCATAACTTCATGTGTCTTACTCATCTTTTTTTTTTAAAACTTCTTTTTCTTAGTTTTAATTATTTCTATTGGGCTGTATCATACAGTAGTCCTCGACTTACAACGGTTCATTTGGTGACCGTTCGCAGTTACAATGGCACTGAAAAACATGGGTTACAACCGTTTTTCACAGTTACGACCTTTGCAGCGTCCCCTTGATCACATGATCAAAATTCAGGCGCTTGGCAACTGACTCGTGTTTATGACGGTTGCTGTGTCCCGGGAGGTCATGTGATCCCCTTTTGCAACCTTCTGACAAAGCCAATGGGGAAGCCAGATTCACTTAACAACCGGGTTACTGGCTTAACAACTGCAGTGATTCACTCACTTAACAAATGTGGCGAGGAAAGTCGTAAAAGGGGGCAAAACTCGCTTAACAAATGTCTCACTGAGCAACATAAATTTTGGGCTCAGTTGTGGTCGTAAGTCGAGGACTCCCTGTGTTTCTCAGTGCATGCTTATACTGTTTTATTCGGAACTAAATCCTACATTCATTTAACACTATAGCCTAACTTACTCATGGCAGTCTTGTACTATTAGTTTCAATAGGACAATAATAGGAGATCAAGCCATAGAATCTATTAGGATATATCTCAAGCATTTATGATGTTTAAATCTGTTTATGTGGCACCTCAAAACATGGAAGAAATAAAGTTGGTAGGTATGACTTTTTATTAATAAGGACAGCATAGCTTTTCAATGCAAAAGTCTACTCATAATTCAAGGACTATGTCATGGTTCCGACAGATGAAACTCTTCAAAGAACTTCTAGGCATTGTTTACCTGAAAGAATCTTTATTTGAGTAGCATAGTATCGGCACGTACATAGGCAAAGCCAAAATCTGAATTCCCCTTCCCTGAGCACATAGTATCAAAGCACAATTCCCTCCTCTAATTAACAGTCGTAAATCACATTCTCCAATTAATTTGAAATGCCGGCTTTCCCTCCAGTTCTTCAACCGGCCATTTCTTATCATCTCTTATTTCAAAAAACCTTGGTTCTCACCCTAGTTACAATGTTATGTATAACTAAACTCCCATCCACATTCCTCTTCCTCCCCCCCCCAGTATCATCTAATTCTAACTCTGATTCTACGAATAAAACATAAGAAGGAAAATGGCTGCATCTCCATATGTTGTCAAAGCAAGAACATCCGATGTTAGCAGCGTTGACAGACAACTTGTAATCCTAAAACTGAGTTTGTGTATAACACTAAGTTGGAATTCTTTATCCACTTTTCTTGCCATAATGGAATTGATTCACACAAAGCAATAAGACGTAATGAGTGAGTTTACATCCCACCAAGGCTGAAAGGAACAAACTACTTTGCGTTTCTTTGTGTGGTGCGTTGTGAACTATACCTGAAAGTCCTCATGCAAACATTCTTACCATAAAGAAAATGAAAGAAAAGCCAGGGAAACCACACTTACACTGCTCTTAATAATTAAGGACTTTTTAGCACAACATTCTGGATGAGGTTTTATAATCCACCTCACAAAATGTTCACAGAATGTTGGTGTAAATTAGGGGTAGGCAACCTTGGCTCTTTTATGACTCCTGGACTTCAACTTTTATGACTCATGAAGTCCATGAGTCATAAAAGAGCCGAGGTTGCCTATCCCTGGTGTAAATGTTTCCCATTTATGGCCAGCAGGAATATTCATTCATTAGACTAAATGGAGATGGTTTGTAGGAGCAAAAGTCCTTGTGATGTGCAAAAGGATGAAAATATATCTTCGTTACTTTGCCTCAGTGTTTGGGATTCTGAAATCTGTTCTCTTTTTAGGAAGAACTTCAAATACCTGGAGGAGTTCAAAGTAGACGATACTTTATGTTCCGAGTACGTCCATTTCTGTTTGTTTCTGGCTCAAGGCTATATTACAAGACAACAAACACAAACTAGGCTTGAGAACTGAGGTCATCCTTTGGGAAGAGCTTTTTTGGCTAGCCAATAATTCAGAACTACCAATAGTGGAATGATAGATGATGCAGCCAATTTTATTTATTTTCGTGACTCTGCTTTAAATGCATCATACAACCAATTTAAGAGGCATACAGTAGATAGAATGCTTCCATTTTTTGACACGCAACAGCAACCTATTAAAGAACAAAGCTTGAAAACAGATGTTCTCCTTCAGCTGTGCTTTTGCCTTCATTAAACACTCCAATTCTGTGTATGTGCATGTGCACAAAAAGTGCACGCAGCAGGAGAGGACAGGATGACTTAAATAAAGAAATCTCCTCAAGGTGAAAGAGTAGGATCAATTTCAATGATCTGAAATGCTGAACTTCCAGCACTCTCTGAAGAGATCAACAAAAGGTCCTGGGGGATAAAGAGGTACAGATATACCTGATAGGTGCCAATTGTTCAGATTATCTACCAGAGAGTAATGCTGCAGTCCTCAGCTACAGATTATCACTGCTACCTCTAGCACCATATATTCTGCGGAATATATCAGTATGAATGCTAGTGCGTTAAATCAATGAGCTAGACCAGGAGTAGGCAACCTTGGCTCTTTTATGACTCGTGGACTTCAACTCCCAGAATTCCTGAGCCAGCCATGCTAAGGGGAAAGGGAGAGGTTTCCAAGCTGAGCCATGCTGGCTCAGGAATTCTGGGAGTTGAAGTCCACGAGTCATAAAGCGGCCTAAGCCTAGCCAGAGGTAGGCAACCTTGGCTCTTTTATGACTCGTGGACTTCAACTCCCAGAATTCCTGAGCCAGCCATGCTGGGGAAAGGGAGAGGTTTCCAAGCTGAGCCATGCTGGCTCAGGAATTCTGGGAGCTGAAGTCCTCGAGTCATAAAAGAGCCAAGGTTGCCTACCCCTGAGCTAGGCAGAGTTCATATTTTATAGACCTCTCTAGGGCAACTTGCAGTCAGAAGGCTTAGTTTAAGGTAAATAGAGGCCAAGGTGGCATTTTTTTGCTCCTTTTCCCCTACTTTTCTCTTTCCTTTATTAATGAAAATCTCAAATCTCTTCTCTAACATTCAGCTGTAATTAAAACGTGAGATCTGAAAAAAAAATCATTAACACGTTAGAAATTTGTTTCAAATCACAAATTCCAAGAATCAAGTTTATAATTCTTACAGAGGCATTCCAAAAGATACAATTGATCTATCCTTTCTTTTTCTTTTGTAGCCACGTAATGGAAGAAGATCAGCTACTTTCTATTAAAAAGGTTTTTATCTTACTTGTTCTTTCAAATAATGCTTTGTACGGTTGGAATGCATGGGAAAGAGTATAAAAATTATATTTCACCAAATCGTATAATTTTTATATTTTTTTATAAATTTTCCAGGCACTAATGTGTGGATGCATGTATTATAGATATATGTGTGTGTGTATGTATGTGTATACACATACACACACTTTCCTAACCATTCTATTGAAGAACTTAAAGAATAAGTGGATAAAGATTAAATTTCAGCATTTTAAGGCATCCTTTCATCTCCCCAGCAAGAAGCCAACAATTAAAAAAAAAATCAGAAATAACTCTGATGCCCAGATTTTTGTTCTGAGAACAAAATGTCACCTTTTCTACCATATCCTTTCCAATGAATAATGGAAAAAAATACTGCTTCTCTACAGGCTGCAGACTTGAAACTCTGGATTAGAGCAAACATGGATTTCAGAAATGGATTTTACCAATCGGTATCAGAAATATATTAATATTCTCCCAGATGTATAACAATCCATTTTTAAAAAGTGTCTATCATAAAAGTACCATGTAATTGTTTTATATATTATTATAATTATTTTTTTTCTTTCTTTAGGCTTGTTCTTGGATCACTTCCACGGCTGCAGAAAAAATGGACATCTTATGCGCTATTAAATGTCAAAGCTTTTTTTAAAGATACCCTATCCACAATACAAAATTCTTACAATTAAAAATGCAAACTTCTGCATGTTTACTCACAAAGAAGTTATTGTTTAATGGGGCTTACGCTCACATTAGCGTGTACAGGTTTGCAATCTAAAGTACAATTTTTAAAGCATCTTAAAATTATTCTGTTCCCTTGTGTTACAGTTTTTGAAATGGTGTGAAATTAAATTATAAACAAAAGTGTTGTAATGGACCTTGTCAGTTGAGTGAATGCTACATACATATAGATTTTTTCCTCCTTTATTGTAAATAAAAACATTCAGTAGAGAGTTGTTTTTAATGAGAGTATTTTAATGAGAATGTTACTGGTTGTTAGTGCCATATTTCTGTGCTTTGAGTCTTACGATTTCCAATTTGGCTTACGTGTTTTTTCAATACAACTAGTGCACTAATATCCAAAATATTTTTAAATGGGCCTTTCTTGCATATTATGATATTATGATGTTTCTGCTGATGAAGCAGGAGAGCATTGGAAGTGGGGTTAACAGAAATGAGGAATGTTCAAAATCTTGATTTCATCTCTTTTGTTACCATCTATACTTAAACATTCCATGCCTGTGGCGTTCAACTTTAATGACACACTGTCTTGTACTTAGCCTTTTAAACTTTTTTGAAAAACATTTCTTCGCTGCGAAAGTCTGCTTCCTATCCAATCATTATATATCTCCTTGAGAGAGATGAGCAGTCTAGAAATATGAAAATCTGCCTGCCTGCCTGCCTGCCTGCCTGCCTGCCTATCTATCTATCTATCTATCTATCTATCTATCTATCTATCTATCTATCTATCTAATCTTTACAGTTCTTAAAAATTTCTCAATTATTTTTTCCAAAGATATAGATAGATAGAGATAGATAATAGATTCAATTTTTAGTAAACATTTGACTAAAAAACAAATCCATCTACTTGCTCTAATATTTTGGCATTTATATAAAACTTGCAAAGCTTCGCTGCATTTTCTCTATCAAAGGCAACTAAATAGGCAGATTCAGAAACCTCTTATATTCACACTCCATTCGTTCTGTTGGAAGAAGTTCTAATACTTTATATGACATCTTTTTCTGAAGTTATCCTTTTGCCACTCCCATTTGTATCATTTTTCTTATTCCATATCCATTTTTCCCACTACTGATACTACTAAAAAATGTCCCACATTCAGAACTCTTGTTGTTGTCATCACCACCACCACCATCATCATCATTTTAGCCATTGTCTATCCACTGCAGGATGAAGGCCTCTTCCTCATGTTTCCAACCAATATGGTCCCGAGCTTTCTTTTGCCAATTGAGCCTGCACTACTTGGCTGATGTCGTTGATCCATCTTGTTCTAGGTCTCTTTCATGGACGCTCTTTATCAAGCGGGATCCATTCTATGACTGCCTTGGTCCACCTGCCATTAGTTCTTCTTTTTATGTGACCAGCCCACTTCCATTTCCATTCTTTTACTCTCTTCATGACATCAAATGCTTTCATTTGCTCTCTAATCTATGTGAGGGTCTTTCTATCTTGTCTTGTGATGCCAAACACGTATCTTTCTGTGGCTCTTTGCACCACTCGTAACTTTGTATAGATTGTGAGGTTAGTGTGCATGTTTCATCAGCATATGTTACAACAGGTAGCACACACTGATTGAATCTCTTTCTCTTCAGGCATGGGGGAGGTTGTTCTTGAAAATTATGCTTAAGCTTGCCAAATGTCTACCAACCACTTTTAACACGCCATTCAATTTCCTTTATTGCATCACCTTTCATTCAGATCTGTTGGCCAAGGTATATTTAATGGTCTACTACATCTAGTTCTTCTCCAGATATAACACTCTTGTATCTATTGCCAATATTCTGTGTTTCATTATAAATAATAATAATAATAATAATAATAATAATAATAATAAAGTTGGAAGGCACCTTGGAGGTCATCGAGTCCAACCCCCTGCTCAGGCAGGAAACCCTACACCATTTCAGACAGATGGCTGTCCAGTCTCTTCTTAAAAACTTCCAGTGTTGGAGCATTCACAGCTTCTGGAGGCAGGTTGTTCCACTGATTAATTGTTCTTGCTGTCGGGAAATTTCTCCTTAGTTCTAGGTTGCTTCTCTCCTTGATTAGTTTCCATCCGTTGCTTCTTGTTCTGCCCTCAGGCACTTTGGAGAATAGCTTGACTCCCTCGTCTTTGGGGCAGCCCCTGAGATATTGGAATACTGCTATCATGTCCCCCCTCGTCCTTCTCTTCGTTAAACTAGACATACCCAATTCCAGCAACCGTTCCTCATATATTTTAGCCTCCAGTCTCCTAATCATCTTTGTTGCTCTTCTCTGTACTCTTTCTAGAGTCTCAGCATCTTTTTTACATCGTGGTGACTAAACTGGATGCAGTATTCCAAGTGTGGCCTTACCAAGGCATTGTAAAGTGGTATTAATACTTCATGTGATCTTGATTCTATCCCTCTGTTAATGCAGCCCAGCACTTTGTTGGCTTTTTCGGCAGCTGTTTAATTTTGGTGTTGTCATGTATACCATATTCAGTTTTGTATATGTGAATAGTTACTGTATGCTTAAATCATATATTCAAATCAGACTTTTTTCTATTTTCCTTTATTATTGGGTCTCCAAATGACCCAATCACAAGTTCTGTGCTGCCGTATTCCTAACCATTTGTGTATATCAGCTAAGCAGAATAACATTTCCCATATTATATTTAGACTTTAAGTCTGCAAGATAACATTTATTCAGAACCCCATGGACTTTTTTTTTTAGAATTCATTGTGGGTTTTTCCACTATCACCATTTACTGGAGCATGGCATGCAATTATCACTAATTTATGGATTCCTGTTTTCATATACACTACTTCTACAACAGCCTAGATACACCATCACACTTTCTGAATATCTTTAAATCCTTTCGTTTGTGATCACACCTTATACCTTCACTTTCCTGTCTATGTTCCTCATCTCCAGAGGACTGATTTATGCTACCAAAATTCATATCTATTACATCTTTCTACTTTCTCTTGGTTTTTGTAGCTACAGAATGCAATCTGTTTTTCTTTCATTTCATCTGTTAATTCATCTTCTTGGCCAGTGTTTCTCATCCTTGGAAGCTTGAAGATGTAAAGTTGAAGACTTTCAACTCCCAGAATTCCCCAGCCAGAGTGTTATTCCGCTTAGTTGATTTCTGGAAGTTGAAGTCTACACATCTTCAGCTTGCAAAGGTTGAGAAACACTGCTGTTGACCCTGACCTCATATCACATTCTCAGTTCTTCCATCTGGTGTGGTGAACATTGGATGGGCTTATAGATAGGGTTCTCCTTCACCTCTCACAGCTTTGGTGAACTTTCACATAATGCTTTGTTGTAATACAGAAAAGATGTACGCAATGTTACCAGCCTTAATCATACTCATGCCACGTTTAGCATTCCTTTCTAATGGTAAGAAAAGTTCTGGCATGTTTTAGTCAAAGCACAATTAAAATCTAGTTGCCTGCATATTCTGTGCAAGATGTGACCGCTAATTTATGGCTTCCTTTCAAGACAACATATTGTTGCCCACATCATATCATCAGCTAGGAGTCCTATGCAGTGTAGTGGCACATACTCAGGCTTTATAGCATTGTAAAACTTTACAAAAAGTGGAAATGTGAACCCTGAGTAAAAATTACCTTTGGGAAATACCACAAACAGTAGTCAGTAGTTGTATTCGTTTATTCTTTGAGAAAATCCCAAAGCCTTTTATATCTTAAACATAACATTTATCCTCACGTACCAGTCAGTTTGTGCTTGTAATCTCCACCAAATTAGCCTAGGACAGTGATGGCGAACCTTTTAGAGACCGAGTGCCCAAACTGCAACCCAAAAGCCACTTATGCATCGTCGGGTGCCGGGTGGGTGTGGCCTATTGGCTGGGTGTGGCCCATTGGGTGGGCGTGGCTGCGGTGGTAATGGCAGACTGAGTAGGACTAAAAAGTTCAATCAATTCCAACTTTCCAAGATCTTTTTTTTCTCTGCGAAAAGTTGAAATTGACTGATTGGTTGAACCTTTTTTTTTTTTTTTTGCACACAGCAGCGGAGGCCTAAAGCGAAAAGGTTTTATAAAACCCAGCTGAAGGCCTAGAACTGGGGTGACAGCGCGCATGCCCACAGAGAGGGCTCTGAGTGCCACCTCTGGCACCCGTGCCATAGGTTCGCCACCACTGGCCTAAGAGGTTGATGTCAATGGGAGAACATAAATGTGGAATCCATGCTACTACAATAAAGTGCCTTTGTTCATGTGTTTTTGTGCCTCTCTTACTACTGACTTTCCCTTTGGATTACATCTACCACTTGCAGAGAAGAAACTGATAGGACAGAGACTGGAATATCAGTGCGCTGAGTTCATAAAGTATCCATTATTATCCATTTCTTTTGTTGCGTTTGCCTATGCCTGTCCATTATATAGACTCCTTTTTATATCTAAGGTAAAAAGTCTTTCAGAATCCATAGAATCATGGAAAGGAAAGCAATGTAGCTTGGAAGACATGCCCAATGCAGGAATCCACTGCTATGGACCTTCTACTGGCTCCTCCCACATTCTGAAGCGGTTGGTGGGTTGGTTATTCAGTTGAAAACCCAACAAGATGTAAGCTGGTGGTATCCAAGCTGGTGTCAGGATATCAACGTTGCAGCTCCTACACCACCATGCAGGTCAGAGCGAAAGCAACACAGTATGTCTGTTAAATACTAAGTATATTCATCCTACGGTACCTCTTCAGGTAGCAGTTAAATGAAATTAAAATGGGACTGGAAAAGTGCTTTATTTCCAGACTGTTCACAATGCAAATTGAGTAGGACATGAAGTCTTAACAGAATACAGAATAACAGACTTGGAAGGAACCTTGGAGGTCTTCTAGTCCAACCCCTCTGTTCAGGCAGGAAACCCTATACTAGTTCAGACAAATGGTTGTCCAAATTCTTCTTAGAAATTTCCAGTGTTGGAGCATTCACAACTAATGGAGACAAGGTGTTTCACTGATTGTTCTAATTGTGAGGAAATTTCTCCTTAATTCTAGGTTGCTTCTCTCCTTGATTAGTTTCCCTCTGTTGCTTCTTGTCCTGCCTTCTGGTGCTTTGGGGAATAGCTTGACTCCCTCTTCTTTGGGGCAACCCCTGAGATATTTTAGCACTGCTTTCATGTCACCCCTAGTTCTTCTTTTCATTAAACTAGACATACCCAATTCCAGCAACCGTTCTTTTATATGTTTTAGCCTCCAGTCCCCTAATCATCTTTGTTGCTCTTCTCTTGCTTGCTTTGTCCCAGGTTAAGCTCATTGGAACTTGTTACTAAAGGATTGTTAGATGTGGGTTGGGAAAGGAAACTGCACTGAAATGTTATTGCCTGGGAGAAGAGAAGAGTGAGACTATTAAGCAGAAAAATCTATCAGTTGTAATTTAAAATTGCACTCCGCAAGGGTAAATGCACCCTGTGATGAGAGCAAACTCTGCAGTAGTTCTAGAACTAAAAATCAAAGCAAACATTTGGGTTCCAAAAGCGTATTGAATTATAACAAGACCTACTATATTAGTGATGGCGAACCTTTTAGAGACTGAGTGCCCCAAAACTGGCTCCGTTGCCGTTCCACCCCCTGCCCCG